CTTCCAAAGCCCCGTTTGGTGCACCAGTACTATTCCAAAAGAAACACGATGGTAGCTTGAGAATGTGCATCGACTATCGAGCACTAAATAAAGTGACGGTGAAGAACAAGTACCCCATACCCTTGGTCGCTGATCTGTTTGATCGACTAGTGAAGGCACGATGGTTTTCAAAGCTGGATTTGCGATCGGGATATTGGCAAGTGCGTATAGCAGCAGGAGACGAACCAAAGACAACGTGTGTAACGAGGTATGGCTCTTTTGAGTTTTTAGTAATGCCCTTTGGGTTAACCAACGCACCTGCCACATTTTGCACCTTGATGAATAAAATATTCCACCCGTTCTTGGACAAATTTGTGGTGGTATATTTGAACGATATCGTAGTGTACTCAGAGTCACTCGAAGAACACGTCGAACACCTACGATCGGTTTTCAAAATACTTAAAGAAAACCAACTATATGTGAAAGCAGAGAAGTGTTCCTTTGCCCAAACTGAAGTATCGTTTCTAGGGCATAAAATTATAGGTGGAAAGATCCATATGGAGAAAGACAAAGTACGTGCTATCAAAGAATGGGAGGCACCAAAGAACGTGTCCGAACTACGCTCGTTCCTAGGATTAATTAATTATTATCGAAGGTTCATACCTAGCTACTCAGCCAGGGCTACACCGCTGGCGGAGCTCCTAAAGAAAAAGGCGACTTGGCAGTGGACGGAAAAGTGCCAAAAGACCTTCGATGACCTGAAGAACGTTGTCATGGAAGAACCAATCTTGAAACTACCAGATTATTCCAAACAATTCCAGGTACAAACTGACGCTTCTGACTTTGCCATCGGAGGAGTATTAATACAGGACAACCACCCCGTGGCGTATGAAAGTCGAAAACTAAACGAGACAGAACGAAGATACCCGGTACACGACAAAGAAATGACAGCAATTGTACATTGCCTTCGAGTATGGAGACACTATTTGCTTGGGAGTCGGTTCGTTATCCAAACCGACAATGTGGCGACTAGTTACTTCCAAAATCAGAAGAAGATAAGTCCTAAGCAAGCTCGTTGGCAAGATTTCTTAGCAGAATTCGATTATATCATGGAATATAAGCCAGGAAAAACCAATGTAATTGCGGATTCCCTGAGTCGAAAGGCCGATCTAGCAACCCTCTCTCGAGTAACATGCGATTTTGCTGACCGGATCAAGGAAGGGCTAAATCAGGATCCGTTAACGAAGAACTTAATGGAAATGGAAAGAGAAGGCAAGACCAGAAAATTTTGGGTCGAAGGCGAATTATTATTCACGGTCGGCAATCGAATGTATGTCCCAAGATGGAACAACTTGAGAAGAGAAATCCTAAAGGAATGTCATGATTCCAAATGGGCTGGACATCCAGGTACTCATCGTACAAAAGCACTTATAGAACGATCCTATTATTGGCCCAATATACGAAGTGACATAGACGCCTATGTGAGGACTTGCCTTATTTGTCAACAAGATAAGGTCGAACAGGCCAAACCGGCGGGATTATTGGAACCACTACCGATCCCCGAAAGACCATGGGAAAGCATATCGATGGATTTTATTTCAGCATTACTGACGTCCGAAGGGTGCGGATCAATAATGGTGATTGTAGATCGATTTTCCAAATATGGAACGTTTATTCCAGCCCCTCGGGATTGCATAGCTGAAGAAGTAGGGCGACTATTCTTCAAGCATGTCGTGAAGTATTGGGGACTTCCTCGAAGCATTATAAGTGATAGAGATCCCCGCTTTACAGGGAAGTTTTGGAGGGAGCTATTTAAGCTAATGGGATCAGAACTCCACTTCTCGACTAGTTTCCACCCTCAAACCGATGGCCAAACTGAAAGGGTAAATCACTTGCTCGAGATTTATTTGAGGCACTTTGTCAGTGCAAACCAACGGGATTGGGCCAAGCTAATTGATGTGGCCTAATTTTCATATAACTTACAACAGAGTGAGGCTACAGGGAAGAGTCCTTTCGAGATTGTAACAGGCCAACAACCATTGACGCCCCAAGAACTAACAAACGGTTACAAAGGATCAAGCCCACCTGCGTACAAGTTTGTCAAAGCATGGGACGAGGAACTTGACATAGCAAAGTCTTACTTACACAAGGCAGCCAAGTGAATGAAGAAATGGGCGAGCAAAAAGAGGCAGCCAAGAGAGTTCATAGTAGGGGACGAGGTGATGGTAAAACTCCCACAAAGGATGTTCAAATCCACCCGAAAGGTACACAAAGGCTTAACACGAAGATACGAGGGGCCATACAAAGTTCTTGAAAAGGTTGGGACCCGATCATGCAAGCTTGAATTACCATCCTACTTAAAAATCCATCCCGTATTCCATGTAAGTCTTCTTAAAACTTACAACCGCGATGAAGAAGATCCATCGAGGAGCAAATCACATCGAGCCCCAGTAGCAAACGTGGTCTCATATGACAAGGAGGTGGATGAAATCCTAGCTGATAGAATAGTTCGTAAACGAGGCTTACCCAATTGGACAGAATATTATGTTCGATGGAAGGGACTACCCGATAGCGAGTCCAGTTGGGAACGAGAACAAGATCTGTGGCAGTTCCGAAGCAAGATCGAGGAGTACATATCTAAGACTTGACGAGGTCGTCAAGAACTTAAGTGGGGGAGGGTGTTACGATCAAGATTCTAGACTCTTCCGGAGTACTCAAGAAAATGGGAGAACTTACAAATATAACACATTAGAGCCTGGAACGTCCTAGATTTCTCTAGGACATCAAAGAATTATTTAGAACATATCATGAAGACTTGTAAATATATGTAACCTGGTAGAATATTCTAGATTAGTCAAGAATATAGGACTAATGTAGTAATATCTAGAAACTTCCCAAGAGGGGGAAGGACAAGTATAATAGGGAGGAGCTCATTTGCTCCAAACCATTGGAAGTTCTCTTGTATTCTCTTGTGCTCTATAATAGAAGTCTTCTTTCGTTTGTAGAACTTCGAAGCCTTTATTCTCTTGCTTACTTAGTTGTTTATACATCCAAAGGAAGCGTCGTAGCCTGACTTAGTCGAAGTTACACTAAGTGGCACACGGTGATTGTGTTGTCCCGTGACACTCCGCTGATGATGTTTGCCCTAAAATCCACTCAACAGCCTCCTCTCTTTAAAAATACACTAGTACAGAAGAGATTTGATGATGCGGTTAATATAGTTTGTTGATGCGGTTTTTTGACCGCACCAAAAAATATGGCATTAAAAAATTGTACTATTTGATGATGCGGTTTACAAACCGCATTAAAAAACACTAGAAACCGCCTTATAAGATACCAAAATTAAAATAACAAATCGCATTAAAAAATCAGCAACCGCTCTATTAAATATTAGCACTAAAAAAATCAAAAACCGCCCTATTAAGTAATCGCACCAACAAATAAGGAACCGTTCTATTAAATATTAGCACTAAAAAATAAACAACCGCCTTATTAAATAATCGCACCAGAAATCGGAAACTGCTCTATTAAATAATGGAGCCAAAAATTAGAAACCGTCGTATTAAATAATATATATATATATATATATATATATATATATATATATATATATATATATATATATATATATATATATATATATATATATCACAAAAACAAAACCGCACTATAAAAAATAATATATCATTTAAAAATCATTAATAAACAAAAACATAGTATTTAACAAAACTTCATTATACAAAAAACCAACAATTTCTAATTTACATTTTAGTTATAATAAAACACAAAACATTATCATTATTAGAAAGTTCTTTTCTGACTATTATTCACCATCTTAATTAAATGAGGTATTATTTCTGAGACCATATCTTCAAGTTTAACGGGCGTAACAATACTCTTCTTTTTCCATAACTGCAACAAACAAACAAACAACATATATATATATATATATATATATATATATATATATATATATATATATATATATATATATATATATATATAGACACACACACATACAAAATATTGATATTTTAAATCTATACAAAATACTTACTTTATTTTCAAAATCATGTTGAATGGTCTCAACAAACTCTTTCATATGTTTTATTACTATAAATCCACATTCCCATCCACCTTTTTGTTTGTAGCACTGTATTTAATTCACAATAACTATTTCAAACCACTTTAAATACATTGATAAAAATTAATAGAAAACATACATGTACTGTTTCCCACTTATTAACTCGTCCCGGGAAAACATTATCAATGAAAGAAGGAAAGTGGTAAGGGTCTTTTTTCTTTTCTTGGTTGTTTTCACATAAAGAATCAAGAATATAACCACATATGCTTTCAGGACATAGGATAAAAAGCAACCAATGCATACTGCAAAAATAAGAATTATTTAACAAGTAAGCATATATGTGTACTGTGTTTATATAAGTGTAGTGTGTATATGTATGTGAACGTATTATGGAAAGAAAAAAATTACCCCTGTAAATATGGAGCAAGAAAATATCGTTTGCCTCTATGATACGAAAATACTTCTTCGATATGTTTAGTGACGGGCGTCAGGTCTGTTTTAGTATCTAAGCGTGCAATGCAAAGCGGATCAAAAAAAGCACATTCGGAATTGGGCGACCTAAAAAGAAGCCTATATATATTACACAATGTTAGTAAAATTAATTATATCTAAAAAGTTATAATACCATATTAAAAAATATAATAATAACTTACATTGCAAACCAATGAATAACGCTTTGATTAATCCAATCTCTTAAAAATAGTTGTAATACCTCGATATATTGGATGGTAATTTGAACCCTACGGCGATACATCCCTTTGGGTGAAAAAATATTAACAACATTTGCATTCCCAAAAAACTCTACTACTTGAAAACCAACAGATTGAATTTGAGGTCTTTGTTCTTGTAATTTGCTCAAGGATGTATACAAGTCAGGTTCATCATGTGTAACAAATTCAGGTTCGGGTTCGGATTCGGATTCAAATTCGGATTCGGGTTAGGGTCTGGCTCTCGGTTCGGGTGCATTTAAATGAACTTGTGGTGGATTCATAGATAACATCTACAGACAAACACAAAACATTAGTAATTAGATATGATTATATACAAACATAAAACATCTAAAAAAACATAATATGTCTAAAAATGAGCAAAAAACAAGTTTTTAAGACTAACCATATCAACTAAACCACCTTGAAAATGTTCATTAATTTCATGTTGATAAGAAATGTGGTTTTCCTCAAACTAAAATAACAAAAAAATTAAAAGTTGTTATAATATTATCAAAATAATACTAAATTAACAAAAAGTAAGAGTGAACTGGTTGAATACTTGTGGACGATAAACTGAAGTCGTCATGATGTGATCAACATGTATGTATGGTGAGGCGCGATTCAACCCCATTCCCGTGCCACTATTTGATTTGCTAGGTGTCTTGTTCACAACCTACAATATTTTGTAATATTTAAATAAACATATATTAAAATATATATTTATATTTAAATATAAATATACCTTTATTGCATATCTCGGCCACTGAACGATGGTATGTAGAAGATGTTTAACATATTCAACTTCTTCCGTCCGTGTGACGGCATGCATAGGCAAGTTCTCATATATTTTGAAGATTTCATCAACCTGTACTTTCACACGTGTACTTATTGGTTGTGAATGTATGACCGTTTCAGATGTTGGCCATGCAATACCATTAGCTACTATCAATTGAGTATCAGCCACATTCACTAGCAATTCACATTCTATCCTAACCTGTGAATCATACAACTTTTTTTGTAAATATAATATAGAAAACATAACTTATAATATACATATATATATATATATATATATATATATATATATATATATATATATATTATGTGAAAACTATAAATATATTACCTTAATAGGTGGGTATTCTGTCAACCGTCCACCAGATGCACCACTAGATTCATGCAATGATGGGATCATGTCAACCTGTTGTCTCGGTCTCGTGGTTCTACTATTTTCCACATTTTGAACAATCCACCATAAACCTGGTATGGCCAATGATATTAGATATTGTCCGTGATCGCCCCTCGTGCTCGCGTCCCAAAAGTCTAACTAATGGGTCTTCCTTATTTTGGAAATAACTCCCATCAACTATCATTCTTTTCTCTTCTTGTTCCTATAAAGAAAAAAAAAATACTTGTAAAGATATATCTACTAACAAATCAAAATCTTCATAAATTGAAAAAAAAATTGTTTACCAAAAATTGAAAATATTTAATTGCCACTTGGGGAAGATCGTACGTATTGGTTTCTGGGTTAATTAATGCGAAATCCATTAAATATAACATAGACCGCTCATTTTGTATACGATCCAGAAACTCGTATTTGGCTACAAATTGAGGTCATATAATATGTCTTTTTTTTTTCAAGACCCTTCCATCCACTTCGACCTAAACGTGTAATGAATATCCTTTTCACATTGCTTTCTTTAGCTTTTGCACTTCTTGCCTTCACACATATCAACAAATTGTTAATAATAATAATAATAAATAAATAAATAAATAAATAAATAAATAAACAATTAAAACATACCAAAAACTCAGGAGTAGTTTTTTGTGCAACAAATCTTTCCCATTCATCAGGTTTTATAAAATCATATTTGAGACAAGCATTCAATTCTTGATTCACAAAATTTGAAACAAGGAATGATTTAAAATTTGATGCAAGTTTTACAGCTTTACTCTTCAAATATTTTTCTGTTCATTAGACTCGATGTTCCACTGTTTCTACAATTTCAAAACAAAATATGTTAAACATAATAATTAATTAACAAGTTATTTATATTTGCAATAAATTAAAATATAAATACCTTAGTTTCCAACCATAAATCTTTAAAATACTTTTCTCCAGCTTTACGCGACTCTATATCTATAGGAAAACTGCGTCGAACCTTCATGTCAAACCAAGAACTAAACTATGCTGGCATGCCATCATCTAGTATATTATTTTTATCAAACTTCACTTTATATTTTTCCGGAGAAATCTTTGACTTAAATGCAGCAATACCACGTTCACCTCTTTTTTTTGGTCGTACATTTTCCATTTTTACAAGCCTAACAACATTAAACAAATTAAAAATATTTTTATCCATGGATAATAGAAGACAAACATAACATAAGGACAAAAAACATAATCCAATACAATAGTATATTCCATGAATACAAAACAAGAATCTAACATAATGCAATGAAAAGGAAGGATCGAACCAATAAATTGGTAGACCCCATATATGTGGGGCCATGTATTACATTTATTAACCAGGAGACAATTACACGTTTATGTATTCTAAAGATTTTGAACTATAATGTAAAGTAATAAGACTTTTTCACAACATCAAATTAATACTTTACAGATTCTAAAAATTCTAATGCTATACGACACGAGACAAGTCACGGTCAATTCTAAAAGATTCCAAACACTTTTTAAGAATAAACTTTTGAAAACAAAGCAATATATATACACCACCAACAAATCAATGTAAATATACCTTAAACGACAAAGCAACTCAAAACAGAAAATGTGGCCGGGAGTTGTGGAAGTTTCAGACGAGAGCTATGGAGGTTTACCGCGGAGACTTGTGGAGGTCCTAGCGTCAACTTAGCCGTCCACTAAAACCGGAATTCCCGTCAGCGACGACAAGGGTTTACGAATCGCTATGGAGGTTTCGAGATGGCGCGCAGTGAAAAAATTAGAAAACCACAGGAGGGTAAACTTGAGGTATTGACTGTGGGCGGATGATTTTATGAGGCGGTGATTTTCAGATAATGCGGTTTCACTTTTTTGAGGCGGTTCCTTCCTATTTTATAAGGCAGTTTCCTTTTTTTTTTTTTTTTTTTTTTTTTAATCATAATCATAAATTAATAATATAAATAAGGCTTCAGGTATTTTTATGGTGCGACTATTGTGGAGCGATGTTTTTTATGAGGCGGTGCAATTCTTATGCGATCATTAATATTTAGCAATTATATTGGTTTTATAAAAATTATTTTTAGAAATTATTCAATTTAATATTTCGTTATGACTCATAATTAATTATATATAATTCTAAAAATAAGTATTACAAAAACAATAAAAACATAATATATACTTCCAAAATTTAAAAAATTATGGTTTAAGTTTCAATGTTTTAGTGTTTAGGGTGCATGGTTTAGCGTTTAGTGTTTACCTAAGACCGAACATGCTGCTTAGTGTTTAGTGGTGTAACATCCTAAAATTTCCAATAAATTTGAACTTTTTAAAATAACATAAATCATATATTTAATGTATTTTATTCGAAACAAATGAAATATCAAACCCCAAGGTCAATTCAGTTTCCGAACATTATTAGTTATAATTTTAAAATTCATGAAAAGATAACCAATTCAATATCAATTCCAAAAACCCGCCTCGAGCCGGTGTGTATAATCATGTCCGATTTACTGTATAGGATTTACTGTTTGTGGATTTAATTTGGAGTTTTGGGTTTAAGGATTTAGTGTTTGGGTATAGGGATTAGGGTTTATGGTTTAGTGTTTAATGGTTAGGGTTTATGGTTTAAGGTTCAAGGTTTAGTGTTTAGGGGTTAGGGTTTACGTGTAACACCCAAAATCAGAAAGACCAAGAAAAAAAAGGAAACCCTAAGTCAAAAGGGGGTCAACTCGTCGAGTCTATTTAATTGTCTCTTTCAGCCACCACTCATCCCTATTGCTCCCAAAAATCATCCATAGCAAACCCTAAGTGTTTTGGTGCAAGATCTAAGGCTTTTGAGTGATTTTTGTGGGTTTTGAACACAAGGGAGAAGGAAGAGCATAGAAGGTAACTCACGAGGAGACTGAAGGATTCGAGTTTGGTGCAAGTTCAAGGTTCTTAGTGTAAATAAGGAAGGTCGACTCGGCGAGTCGATGGATAGACTCGGTGAGTCGAGTCGCAATTCTGGTCAGGGTTCTTAGTGTAAGAAGCTTGGGGATTTGGAGGCCATCATCAAGGGGCTTGGGTAGATCTGGAATCTACTTCTGTTTGGGCATATTTCAGGGGTAAGGAAACTCCTCCTTAAGCTATTTCATTATTGATTCATGAATGGTGGTTGATTTGGGATTCATTAGCTTGTTTGGGAGCTATCTCGAGTTTGAGGCTTAGATCTGAAGTTGCTACTTCAGATCTAGACTTGTGATGGCCCAAAAGGTCATAAAGTTCCTGTCTAAGAGTCATTAGTGAAGCCCTTTGTCTTAAACCCTATCCCTAGAAGTGTTTTGGGCTTATATCTCCTTTCTTTTCACGTAAAGTTTGCAACTTTATGTGAGGGTTAGGCTGTAGAAGAGTGGATCTATGGATTGGAGTCCCTGCATGGCTTGAAAAGCCTCTGTATGTGTAACATCCAAAAAATACGGGCCAAAAATTTCATTTTCAAACATATACTTAGCAAAACATTAGAAATACAACGTTCACAGATCATATCATTTCATAAAAGATATCGCATGTCTGGAAAAACATTTTATAAAACATAATAATGTCAGAGTATAAATCCCCAGGAAGATCTCATAGTGTGGAATACGAGGCATGTGTGTGATGTGCCGCTACCGCGCCAGCTCCTTCCCCTTCAAAGAAGAGATTCTTGAAACCAAAACTGAAAACTATAAGCACGAAGCTTAGTGAGTTCCCCCAACATACCACATACCATACAATCGCAGAACATACATATATTGTCAGGCATATCTGGGTGCCTGACCTACCCCTTCTGTCCTCTCGACCGGGTATTGGGGACTATTTCACCCCCTACTACGACCGGGTACTCGACTCGCCGAGTCCGATGAACGACTTGCCGAGTATTTCGCATGTAAATACTATATGCTCGATTTTGCTTGATTCCAGCTCATGCCATACATAGATCTGGGTTCCTAGGGCTCGATTATCACGTAAAGTTTCCAACTTTACGTGTAAACAAACACAATGAAGGTTTTAGGGCTCAAAATGCACTAAGAGAGTACATCTAGGGCTTTCATGCAATATGGCTCCATAAAGGCAGTAGATCCGAGCTCCTGGAGCTCAACCGTGCCTAGATCTAAAGGTTAATCAGCTTATTACAAACCCTAATTCATAATCAAGCTTGGAAATGGCTCAAGAAGGACTTTGATTAGTTGTGAGATGTTATATGATTACATGTTTATGTGCACATGGTTGTTGGATTGGGGTTGGGTTGAGGCGGGTCCTGCTTTGTGCTGTAGGCCAACATACCCAGGGCGGACTAGTTAGACCGAAGGCTCGGCGAGCGGTCCGGATAGGCAGAAGGCCCCAAGAGGGCGGACCAGTCATACTATAGACTCAGAGAGTGGACCATGTGGATTGGGAGGGGTCACAAGGTAGATTGGAGTTGATTTTTGCACCCATGGAAGGTCCCTTGCAACATAAGAGCCATTTTAGGGTCTTTTGAGCTCATAGTCCCATGCATGCACGTAAAGTTCGTCACTTTACGTGCTAGATGGATCTTAGGAGTCTATTTAAGGGCACTCATAGCCTCTCATTGCAAGGGACCTATTTAAGGGCACTCATAGCCTCTCATTGCGGCTACCAGTCCCTTGAGAGAAACCCTAAGTGAGCTAAATCGTTTTTGAGGAAGGAGAGGCCAAAAGGGGGTGGTCATACCCAGTCATACTAGATAGAATATGGTTATGTGTTACATGCTATGTGGTAGTAGTAGGGGGTGAAATAGCCCCCAGCATCCGGTCTATGAGATGATGTGATTTCACAGTATTTTCTTAAGAATATTTTTATGAGTTAGTTAATTAGATAAAATTTTGGACTTGAAAATTGGGTCGTTACAGATCCAGAGTTGGATTGAGTGTTCTAGCCTCATAACACCTTGCATGCACCTAAAGTTAGCAACTTTACATGCAAAGCTGGCATTAGAAGTCCAGATCTATGAGTTGAAGGTGTTGGAATGGACTGTAATCGACATAATAGAGATGTCACAAGGTGTACTCGGCGAGTCAGTTCATGGACTCGGCGAGTCAGGTCGCAAACCCATGACTCATCGTGGACTTAGCAATAATATATATATATTTTTTCATTTTACCAATAGTTTGTACATTAATTGAATGTAAAAATTAAAAAAATATTACTCGTTGTTTTTTTAAATTAAATAATTTAGTTTTTCTAAAAAGAAAATAGCAATACATAATTATCTTTTCTAAAATACTACTCAATCAAAACTCAATATGTTTTTATGCGTTTATCGATTTTTTGATGCTATTTTTAGCTTCTTTTTATGCGTATTTTTTTAGGCGGTTTTGTATTTTTTGATGCTGTCTTTGTCTTTTGAGGCGGTTACTTTTATTTTTTAGGGCGGCGGTTTCCATGTAACTAGAAGTATATCTTTGGATGCGGTTTTCGTTTTTTTGAAGCGGTTTGTTTATTTTTTAGGGCGGTTTTCATTTTTTTGAAGCGGTTTGTTTATTTTTTAGGGCGGTTTTCACCAAAAAAGTAGATTACCTATTTAGTAAATGACTGATACATTAAATGCCATCACAAGCGATCAAACACCGTAGATAAAAAAAAGTCTTAACTGATACTTTTAAATGTTATTTGATATTTCTTATAACAATTATACAAACATTATAATTATCAAAAGATAAGGGCAATATTGTTATTATTTATCAATAGATAGTATTTCATACAAAATTCATGTAAAAACAACATTCAAAAAAGAAAAAAAACAATCCATGCACTTAATCAACATATGTCCCTTCTATGTTAGATCGTACAAATGTTGTGCGTTCAATATTATCATAATTACCGGGTTCAATACCAACCGAAAATGGTGGTAGATCATCAAAGTGGTCGTATTCTTCTTCGTCAACGACATCATCAACACTAATAATACGTCGTTTGCCTTGTAAGACGATGTGCTCTTTTTTCTTGCTT